TAAAAGATAACTAATATTATGTGTGAAAGTATATACTGTACTCTCCAAATTAATCTTAGCAATTTTTGAAATGAATGAATGAGGCTAGATTAATTCTGAACTCAATTGAAAAGTGTGCATCAAGATTAAAAAAAACCAGTTACCCCAGCAACAAAGTGAGTCATTATCATATTCTTCATTTGTGTGCATGTGGTACAATATATTCCTCCCAAAGTTATTACTATATATTGATGGAGAAAAATTATAAATTTTTTCTTTCATCCAATTTTATTTTAGAAAAGTGCTGGCGTTGAGTCCTTTGTTGAAGCAACCTGGTAATACTTACAACTCAATCATGGTTTGAAAAGTGAATTCATTTGTTCAATAATTTAATATCATGAGGCATCACTCATGTATATGAATTTTTTCCACTGTCTTCAACCTGCTGAAATTTTGAATTTTCTATGCTCATGGAATCAGGATAAAACTTGGAGAAAAACCACCTTTGTTTTAATCCAAGCACAAGTTGAATGTTCTGGTATTTTTTGTGGGCTCATAGAAAAGAGCAAAAATATAAAATGCACAATTTTAAGGAAATGGGTATAAAAAAAACTGCATAATATTTCTAAAGCACTTTGAAATCCAGTCTTTGAGACAACTTTAAAAAAATTCTCCTGGACATCAAATAACAGACTTTGTTCAATTTTGGGATTTTCACTGGGGAGAAGATGTTGCTGCAAAGTTTGGGTGATAACTGAAGTAAAATGTTGGGCAAGAAAGCGACGTTTCACCAGGAAAATTTCACTGTGATTTCCTCACCATTCTTCCAAGTCACCCAAGCATCACCAAAAATAGCCCCACCCATCGGAGAAAAGCTCACCAAACCATGACCCATCACCACACTTTTTTTTTCTTGTTGAAAAGATCCCCCACCAGGAAAAAAAAATGAATCTAAAAATGTCACTTTTTTTTCCAAAAACACACAATTTTTAATTCCAAAATAAACAGACTTGCTCTTGTGCAAAAAACATGGTCTCATGAAGTCAAGCACAAAGATTTTTTTTCCTTAGAATACTTTGTAGCTGAAAAAAGGAGGAATTTTTTTATGAAGAAATATTTTAATTAGCACAAACAAACAAAAATTGGCACATGAGGTCCCCACCATCAGTTCTTCTCTCAACCTAAGCATATCACAAAACAACAAACTTTTTTTTTTTGCTGTGTATAAAGGCTGGTGTTCTCTTTCTTCCTGCTGAGCAGAAATGGACACCAGATGGAGCTGCAAGCCAAAAATGCCTTTCCAGCATATACTTTCATGGCAGTTTCCAGTAACATTTCTGTTTGTCGCTTTTTTTTTGCACTGGTATAAAAAAAATTGTTTCAATCAACAGGGTATGCTTCTTTTCTTTTTTCTAGCCTAATCTACTTGAAGCAACTGGTTTAACTTTTGGGAAAGCTCTGAAGGCAAATGCACACTGTACTTTGCAGACATGGTCTTCCAGGATGTCTTGAGGGCTAAATGATCTTGCCAGGTGGAAACAGTTGTCAATCTTGAGTGACTGGCAAATTGGCTGCAAGATAAAAAAAAAGCATTATGGCAATACTTTTTAAAAATTTTGAAACATCTTCAGAACACTCCTACATCCTTTCAAGTATTTTTAAAATTAACAGAAGTTATTGAACATTTTTACAACAATTTTAAAGATTCTTCAACAATAAAAGAATGATTTTCCAGAGTTGTGAACAGTTGAAGATCATTGCAAAAGCTTCATAAAAAATTTCAAGATGCAGAGCCTTATAATTAAATTTTTTTAGAGTTAGGTAATTTTAGAAACATATCATCAAGCATAAAAAATGCAAAACCATCAATATTTTAAAAATTATTTTTATACAAGTTCAAAAATTGTCAAATATAATTTAAGGCCATGATAACTTTTCAGAAAGCTTTGATGAACATTTAAAATAACAATGATTAAACACAAAAGCTTGAAAAATGAAAAGAAGAATAAAATTATGGGCACCCATTCCTAATTGATCATAAGAATCAAAGCATTCAAGCCTCAAAATTTTCAAGTTTTAAAACATGTTTGAAACACTTTTAAAACTTGTATAGCTTTTAAAAACTAGATCAAAAGCGTTGAAAAATCTTTGTAACAATTTTGGATTGGAGACTCCAGAACAATTAATAATCTAGTTTAAGAGCTACTCTGGAATTTCTGATGAGCATTTCAATTAATGGTTAACATATATAAGTTGGAAAAAATTTAAAAAATGACATGATGGACACTTACTCCTTCTTTTGTGCAAGTGCACATGACACAGGGGGAGATTCTGTCTGCTGCCCCTACATCAATGTTTGTCCTTCCCACATTACAATCCTGTCTTTCTTGCCATGTTGAGAAGTCAATACCTGGCATGGAGTCACATGGTATTCTTGGATTCCTGAAGAAACAAAAAAAACATCTCATCTCATGAAATGTTTCTTGATTTGCTCAGTGAGATTAACTCACAAGAAAGGATCAGGCAAATCAAAAACTGATCTCTGCAGGAGAGGAATGCTGTCAGCATTCTGACAAATGATCTTAGCCATTGTAGTCTCTCTGATTTGGCTCAACTGGGCATCAGTGAACCTCAGCAAAGGATCCCCATTTTCATACCTTACAAAGAAAATTAAATTGCTTTCAAAATTTCCTCCAAATTGTACCTTACTTTTGTTTAAAACTCACCAGAATCTGTCACACTTCATCAAGTTCCTGAACTGGATGCCAATAATGCAGCCAAAAGTGGGTCCAACCATGCCTCCATGAAGAGGAGTCTCACTGAGGCCCCCACTGAACAAATCAATGTCATTGACAGTTTCATACAATGCTTGCAATCTTTCAATCAATGGCAAAGCAATCTCTCCTTCAAGGTCCCTGAATGTCCTGGCCACTGTCAGGTTACAGAACCTTCTGTATTCATTGTATGGTCTCAATCCATGGTCCCTTCCTGTAAAGTAAATTTTCCCATCAAACATACTAAATGTCATTATAAAATCCTTCCATACAAATCATTAAAAAAATGGAAGTATACCCCATGCTATACTCAATATAAAGTTGGAATATTAAAGAAAAATTATAAGCATCAATGCAAAAGAAGCACAAGAAACTTGATGCTAATTAAAGGCTTATGCAAGAACTTTGGATTCAACCCACTCATATAAGGTGTTGGGAATAAATCCCGACAAAGAAAAGGTTTGAGTTTAGAATGAAAGTAAGAAAACTAGATTTGAAATAAAACACAAGAATTCGGTCAGGCTACGACCGGGGTGCAAAACACCCTATTTTAAGGTTGGTATAATTCAAAGATCACAACAAAGCTTGCGAAATCTTGGAGAACGTTCTTGCACAAAAGATTGATTCAAACTGTGTTTAAAATGGTCAAACTTGGAAAACAGGAAAACTGTCCTTCAAGGACAAAAAACAGCAACAGGAACTCAGTAATAAAATACAGCCTTGGAGGCTGCCAAAACATCTGTAATAAATTACAACCTTGGAGGCTGCTGACCATCTGTGGGAACCAAGGTCTTCCAAGATTCCCACACCGATAGAATGAGGGACTAAATTTGCTGGAGAATTCGGATCCTCTGAAAGCTAGCGTATCGAATTTAATATACCCGTTAAAATATTTGCGACATAAGGCATAGTGAAAAGGGTTTCAGCCTTGTTTTTCGGGTTTCCTTGTTTCAGCATAATATAAAGCCATGCAAAGCAGCAGTTGAGCCAGGAAATGTTTTTGAAATCAGAAAACAAATGCCCAAAAAATACTGCAAGTGAAGCAACTTTCATCACAAACCTTTTGCAACATGTTCATTTTATTGCTCAATTTAGATGTAGAGTATATTTAATGTATTGAATAATACCTTTGATCCTCATGTAGCATTATTATATGATAATGATAATAATTAAATGGAACAAATAATGAAGGTTACATTAAATTAAAAAAAAAATATATATAAGGGGAAATTCTTGTAAATAATGAACTTACCTCTTTGAACATTGAGTGCAGCCAAGTCCAGACCAGAGAAAGGAGTCTTCTTGTTTTCAAACAAATGATGTCTGACCTCATTCACTATAGAACTGTCCAGACTCTCTGTAGACACTGTAGTGAAGCCCCTGAGCAACTCATCAACCATTCCTGGCTCATACAGGGCATCAGGGTTGAAGAAAATATCCCTGAGCAACAATGAAGGCTCAACTTCCATGAACTGCTTGTTCATTCTCTTGAGGTCAGGCCTGAGGAGACTGTGGCCAAACCTGAATGCTGCTGTGGCAAACTCATTCAAAATGGTGGGGTTGCACTTTTTGTCATACCCTGTCATAGAAAATTGGATTTTTAAATATCAAAACTGACACACAATATAGGAGAAATATAAAGGATGTTATATATACCCTCTGAATATCCATCAGGCAGGAGGTTCAAGTTGTACTTGTTGATGGCTTTCCAGCCAAGCACTCTGGGCAGGAATTCATTGTATGCAACATGCTGCATTTGGGCCATCAGGATCCTTCTTCCATTTTGGTAAATCTGCTCATCATCCCAGAAAGGATTGACTCTCTTGAGACCATCTGCCAAAAAGTTGTGCTGCCTCATCCACAGTGTGTGCATCACTGCCAGTCCTGGCTGTTCATTGCTTCTGCCATCCCCTGTTTACAATCAAAATATTGTCAATTAAACATATTCAGAAATGATTGTCAACCTTTTGGGGGATCATGAAAACTTAAAGAGCTGCTCCTCAATTCAATTTATGATGAAACCAATTTTAATGGTTCATGCTGTACCAAATACAGTAATTTTTGAAAATCCCCAAGCATCAGAGTGAAGAAAAATTTTCAACTCAATTTTTAATTGTGTTGACAATTTTTCTTCACTCTGATGCTTGGGGATTTTCAAAAATTACTGTATTTGGTACAGCATGAACCATAATACATGAACAAGTTTTTTTTTAAACTTGTTCATGCAATTCTTCTTGTATGTTCCACACCAAAATTCAATTTCAAGTTTGAAACAAGAATGTCTAAAAAATATGAGAGCAACTTAAATACACTTTTGACATCAGCAGCAGAATAATACTAACTTCACCCACAGAAATTGCATTTCCATATTCAAATTTACATACAGTATACTTTATCATTTCAAATTCAGCCTTAAAAATTTCCAAAATTTAATTATGAATATATCAAGAAAATCTTCTAAATCTAAAAATAAAATTCAGTTCCAAACAGAAGTTATATTAT